AATACGTACCTATATAATATAATGAATTACGAACAACCAGCGAAATACTTTGTACCTACACATGCAAAGTGCAAATTAATTTTACCGACGTCATAGACCATCACCATATAATAGTCCATATAGAGAAATCGAAATAAAATATCAAACACGTTAATTCCACACGACTTCATAATATAGGTATAATGTATATATATATTATATGCATAAACGAGTGCCCTAGTCAGTGACCTTACTATAATATTTTATCGCGTGTCACACCACAATATTGTGGACAACGAAATTATCATAATAATCAGTGGCCTAGGTTCGATCACATTTTAAAAATGTGACTGACGTGAAAAAACTAATCCTAAACTCTCAATTTATAAAGACGAGTCTGGAGCATTTGAATATAATAATGTATACTTACTCGTGTACACTGTACACGACATCAACGCAATATTGGTAAGTTCAAAGTTCGACGCCACTGAAACATTGAATAATCGTCAATTGCACGTTTTACTTTGGAAATATTTATAAACGGAAAAATGCAAAAATGATAATATACGTGTGATATACACAGTAGCGTAACTGAACTAGGGGAAAGGGGCAAAACAATTTATTCACCAAAATAATCATAACCTATAGGTATAATTACTGTTAGTCTTTACCATGATAGATAAATTCAGTGGTCGGGACGCTACTGTTTTTTTGTAGCACGCTAACGCTACTGCTACTCCCCAAAAAAAGTAGCTCGCTATTGGGGAAACAAATTAACAAAACGCGCTCTGGTGGAAACAATTTGTACATTCCAATTCGGGATGTATAGATATAGTTTTATGTTGGTTATTTTACTTTTTATAATAAATTAATTTTGCTATTTAAACTTTATACGCTTTTATAGCTAACTGTATATGTTGGTAAATATAATTTATACTAATATTATCAAATACGTTCAAATTCACTTCACTTCACTTCACTTAAAGCAAAATGTATTCGAAATGCCGCGAAAACCCGACTCGAGTCCCGACTGCATGTAGGGGGGAACCCCGCCCAACCGTCAGTACGATAGGCGTCGACAGCGCTCCCAGTGTTAATTTGTTTTCCCAATCGCTAAAGCTACTTTTTTTTTAAATGTAGTGCGCTATTTCTAACGCTATTTAAACGAAATGTAGAGTGCTACTTTTTCGCTACATTTTTTTAAAATTTTTTTTTGTTTATTTAGATATTCACTTGAGTACTTGGTCATTATTTGTTAATGCCTACCACTATTTTCTTGTAATTTTGGAAGGCAGGTTTATTAAGTGTAACTCATGTATTTTTGTAACATAAATCAAAAAAAATAAACGTTTTATTGAAAATTGCCAATAATTAGTAGTTTGTACTGATTAGAGACATTCGGTCACTGGGATAAAGGACTTCATACAGCAAGGGGATTAATGATTACTAATTACAAAGAATTTTGATTTGCTAAACATTTTTTTAAAAAAGTGTTGTAATTGCCTTTTGTGTCCGTTCCTTTATACTTATAAAACTTATTGAAAGCAGGCCACTGTAATTCGATACATTGAGTTATGCATCATTATCCTCATATGACGTGATGGCTTCAGGTTCTGTCATTTTTAATTCAACTATTCAAAATATTTAAAACTTAAAAGAAACACAGAAAAGTAGAAAACGCTGAATGCCGAAAACAAAAATAGTGATAATAAAATACTAATATATTAATTATGGTTTTGTTTTCAATAATATAAAATATTACATTGTAATAATGCACTTATGATTATAGTCTTATCTATCCGGTCTTATCTTAGTCCGGTCCGGGTTAAACCCGAAAAAATCAAAAATACACTCATCTTGTCATCTTAATTAAATAAATAAATAAATATACATCATAATATTTTAATATTATCATGAAATAGGTTAGAAGTAGCGATAAAATAATGAACATTTTCGCTACGCTAACCGTAAATTTCTAGCGCGCTATAGTATTTCTCTACATTGTATATACTGTAGCGACGCTATGTTAATCGCTACAGCTAAAGTAGCGTGCTACTGTAGCGTCGCTACAATTAGCGCGCTACTCCCGATTACTGTAGATAATACATAATGGTTGTAACAAGTCTAAATAGATAGCAAAGAACAATAGATAGGTATCTCCTAGTTCCTACTCATTTTGCAGAACAAAGAATGAAAGAATTCATAAAAAAAGGTGCTATACAAAAGTTAGGTTGCTTAAAAAAAATAATGTGATGACAATCCTGTACCTAATCATAATTCATGAAATATTGGGTTTTTTTCGTTTTACAGATAATGACGTCGACAATATTATTAAACAAGAGAAAAGTGAAATAAATGTATTGTATGCAATAGGTGATAGGAAAAATAAATATTTTGTTAACAAGTGTGTGAAATGTATCGCATGTATGCTTTCTTTATTTTATACGATTAAAAGTTTTTTACTGTTGGCAATTTTTTTTTAGGGGGAAGGGGGTTTGTACCAGGGTTGTCAAAAACTCGGGCTTTATAGAAAAAACCCAACCCGCTTGGGTTTTTTCAGGTTTTTTTCAATGAAACCCTAAAAAACCCAATAACCCGGTGGGTTTTATTGCAAAATTTTAATGGACGGTTTTTATCGGGGTTTTTTCTGAAAAAGGTCATCCGAAAAAATCGGAATATTTTTCCATGTATTAGTTGCACTGTTATTTGATTTTTCCCTTATCGCGTTATCTCTAAACTGGCCCCGCCAAAACTATATGATAATGATATAAGATATTGACATTCTGAACTTTTCCGAATTGTTAATTGTTAATATTTATTGACGTTAGTGGCTTTATTAAGTTTTTTGTTTTGTTGTTAGTTGTTGAATTGTTATTAAACTGTAAATTTATTAGTCATGCCACCAGTCCTTAACCAAACTTAGAAATCGGTTGGGTCATGAAAGGCAGCCAAATTGGTGAAGATCCACCGATTTCTAAACATAAAAACCCCTCAAGGAGAAGTTGAGGAGGACTTTTTTTAATTAAACTTCTTATCAACTATTAATTACCATTAACTATCAGACTGACAGACTAGCTATCATTATTTATTTCATTAGCAAGTATTTGTTATTTTTTAACTATTAATTTTTGTATAAGAATTTAAACTTTAAAGGAAAGTTACGTATTTTATATTTTAAATTTTAATACCTTGTTAAAAATAAAAAAATTTTAACATTTATATTGACCGTTGGTGTGTAGTTTTTTCTATTATATACTTTTATTTGCACCTACCTAACAAAAAAAAATAATAAGGTTTCTTTCATAACAATTTAATAATATTTTAATTGGAAAAACAAATAATTCCTATAAGGAAAATTTTTCTGAAAATTAACATAAGTAAAAAAAAAAGAGTATTTTATCCAGAAAAGCAGCCCGGGTTTTTTGGGTTTTTTCAAAAAATATGAGTGGGTTTAACCCAGAAAAGCAGCCCGGGTTTTTTTATGGGTTTTTCAAAATATTAAGTGGGTTTAACCCAGAAAAGCAGCCCGGGTTTTTTCTGGGTGGGCTTTTTCGTGCCAACCCTGGTTTGTACTGAGTTATGAATATGTAACGAGCTGTGACTACGAATATATTAATAATAGTAATAATATATTAAATAATATATTATATTATATTATTGTATTAGGTAAAATACGATTATAATATATATTATATTCAATAATAGACATAAATGCTACAGGGAGCACGTAACCCCGATAATAGTAATAATATCAGCATCCGAGCGGCCACATCGATAAGAACTAATTAATGGTACAGCGCGAACACGTGATTGGTATACGCGCGCAATATCTATATTCTAGGAAAGACGAAAAAGCCGTAAACAACACAAATAGATAACTTTGAAAACATATAATCCATAATCAACATTATTTTGTAGAGGACGTCCGAAATGACCTCAGGTGTACGCGGCTATGTACCATTTATTATACAAAAAATGCCATAGGAGGGAGCTTTTAGAAATACTCGACGAAGTACGTCGATGGAAAAGTGTCCATCAGACGAACACCAGCCGAGCAGACGAGCACCAGCAGAGCAGCCACCAAGTCGATACTAAGTCACATCTCGTTTACCACATTATTATAAATTAATTTTTTGGACTTAGACTATTTTACGTGTTAAATAAATTACAAATAAACTAACATTATACCATCATCTTGTTATTTTATTCAAAATACAATCAATACTGAGTTGAAGTGGTTGGAACGTTACAATTTTGGCGCTGTGGACAGGGTATCTCAAAAGGATACTTAGAAGAAACCAGTAGAACAATAAAAAAAAAACTTTTTCGAAAAATTTTTGAAAACTTTTCATCTTCTAAATTCAATCAAGGAGGAAAATTCATCACTGGATTCACCGTTGGGAGATTGATCACCTTCCAGCAACTCCGAGAAAGAATCCTGTACAACTACGTAACATCCAACTACAATCAACATTTCAACAGAACAAATGCAAGCACCCGCTGTACCAGCTGCGTTGTTGTAAGTATGCTTACGTAATTAATATCGCGGTGTTTCTCTCCTATGGTATATACATGACCATAGTATATAATAATAAGTGAAGAAACTAGTCGTGTTAAATAATATAAGAAATTTTAGGAACTTTGAATTAAATTAAATAAAAATTTATTATTTATAGGTATTTTATGTTTCAATAATTTTAATAGTGTAAGATAGATATTGTTCAGTACTTTAAAGTTTAAGTCAATTCTAAATAAAATAAAGTAAATTAATAATTTTATTTACAATAATTTTGTTCAATAATTTAAATTAAAATAAAATAAAATAATAATAATAATAATTTAAATTAAATACAATTTTTAACCATTTTAATAAAATAAATTCAATAATATTAAAATAATTTAAAATAATAACTTAACTTAAAATAATTTTCAATCATTTAATAATTTAAAATACATTTTTTTTGCACAAAAACTAAAGGTATTCTTTTTCGATTGGACTTCTTGACTCCTTTTCAATAAAAATGAATTTTAGTTATATATTAATGTTGGTCATATTAGTTGCATCTGCCTTTGGTATTTGTATGGGTTGTGGTACTGACGAAGAGATTGATCATCTTAAGGAAGTGACTATTAAAGTTGAGGGTGCACTTACCGGTCTAACATTAGCCTCACCAGCTATTACAGGGTGGTGTACCTATCCGACCTCAACAAGAATCTGGATTATTATTCAAAGCGCTGGGTTTTTGATGAACTCAACAGACACGTTGATTGAGTCTCTTGATCGTCATCAGCCTCAATATGACGAATGTCGTAGGTTTATTGAAGAACTAATAACCCAAACGAAGAATCTTAGAGATTTGGGTTTTACAGTTGCCAGAACGATTCCATATATGCGTGGCACCCCATCTTATCAATTTGAAATTGCAAAAGGTGTATCCACAACGACTATCATCGTTTCCTTATTAAATAGATGGAAGGAAAAACAATGTGTAACGATTACTGGGAACTGTACTTTACCTAATAGGGTCAATTTCTAACTTTTCAATGTGCCCAATTAAATATATTATTTTAATTAAATATTTCAAATTTGTGTGTGTTTTCTTTGCGTCTTTCACACACTCTTATAGTACGACGCAAAATTACAAATTACTACAAATGATTAATTAAATTAATTATCAGGATGGTGGTATTTATCAAACCACCTTGAATTTTATTTTTTTTTTTTCAAAATCAAATTAATTTTTTCTTATATATCTTTATTAAATTTATTTCACTTTCCATAGATAAAAAAAAAAAAAACTGATTATTAACAATAATGTAAAAATAAATTTAAACACGCACTTATTAAATATACTGGTCTGTAATCCCATTGGAGATTATGAAATATTTGTAATCATTAAATATAAATTATATATAACATGTAACTTAACATGAAAAATATTATTGTATCCAATACTATAGTAATATAGTATGTTATTGTATTAGTTATTAAGGTTTATTATGTTTTAACCAAAAATTTAATTATTATGTTATTATGTTTAAAAATCAGATGAAAAACATATTATTATATATTGTTATGTAATGAAAATGTTATTTTACAAAAAAAAAATATTATGTTATGTTGTTATAAAAAGAAAAATTGTTATGTTATGTGATGAAAAGTTATGTATCGTAAAAAGAAATTATGTAAAATGAAAATCATTATGTCATGAAAAGAAATTATGTAAAATTGTCGTTATGACAATTATTAACACTATATATATATTGATATTGTAAAATGATGTACTATGTATTTATGTCCATGTTTTATGTAAATTTTCTTTAAAGATTTTTGTATTTCTACAAATTGTAGCCCTACAAAAACCTTTGAAAGGGCGATGAATTGTAACGAGCTGTGACTACGTTTATATTAATAATAATAATAATATATTATACTCAATAATAGACATAAATGCTGCAGGGAGCACGTAACCCCGGTAATAGTAATAATATCAGCATCCGAGCGGCCACATCGATAAGAACTAATTAATGATACAGCGCGAACACGTGATAGGTATACGCGCGCAATATCTATATTCTAGGAAAGACAAAAAAGCC